CTACCCAGAGCCTCCAGTTCGTACTCTAAAGCTCATGGATGGGTAGGACTCGGTCCATCCTCGTGTCAGGGGTCTGGCGTCAATCCCTGGGTTTGGAGGGACTGATTTTGACCTTTTTCACGGAGCGTCTGGGTATCGCATGTCTGGACCATCCTGGCCGGCGATGCCCGGTGGTAGTGGTGTCCCCGGGGGAGTCCAAACAGGACAGCGGGACACATGCTCGTTCTCCAGTTTGACTAGCTACTTTCCTGGAGGTTCCCCTTTTGGACTCCAGGTACGACCGTGCCTTTCTCTCCTCTGTCTCGGTGTCCTTCCACTGGTAGATCCCGGATAGTAGTGCGTACAGTAATCCATTAAGACCTCCATAGAAAAGAAAGGTCCTGCTACTGTTACTGGTTATTTCATGTTATTTCTCTCCTCTGTTTCTTGGAATCTGAGCACCCCAACACGGCGTCTCGATGCTCCCGCATGGAGACCTCGATGCTCCGGTGGCCAAGGGCCACCACCGTGGGCGGTGACGGGGCTGAGGTGTCTCGGTCCAAGGGAGTCCGTGTCGACTCGGATTCATGACATGTCCCAAACCCTGGGAGTCAAAGACTATAAAAAGAATGGTCTGACTAGGGGACCTGAAAGGGAACTTCCTTTACTTCAGCCGGTCAAAATATAGTCTTTGGACTTCTAGGGCAAACACTTCATGTATGACATATAGTCGGTCTGTCCAATGAGCTGTAACAGTCGGTAAACAATTTTCTTTTTTTAGAGAAATGCCTTTGTTCATCCTGTTACGGGTAATGGGATAGACCCAAATAATATATAGTATCTTCCAGCTGTGAAACAAACAACCTTTTATCAGGCAGAACTTTTGCACAGAAGATCTAGGTATGCCATGGCATGCCTATATTCATCCCTTTTCAACCACCCCAACTGATCGTTAAATCTGCTGATCGTCCCGCTCTGGATGATGCAAAACCGATCAGCTGGGGTGGTTGAAGAGAGGGAACACCATGCTGCCCAACCAGTAGCGATATGGGACTCTATCCATGACATGCAACAAATAACAAGCACACATAGGTCATCCCTAGCACCCCCAAAAGGACATCAACCGCTCGACCACGAAAACTGGCAACAACCACAAACTCTCGACATTACAACAACCACAAACTCTCGGGTTGGTGTCCAACCATCTCTCTGATAGGCCGTGTTTTTGGAGCTTCCAGTCAAACACCCAGAAGTAGCCCCCCCAAATTCTCAGAACAGTGGGCAAGGGGCAGTTGAATTCCGACATGAGAACACACCATCCGCCAAAAAGGCAAAAAGAACGACACGGCACACCATCTGTGTTGTCCAACAGTATCAAAAACCTCCCAAGTCCCAAAGCTGTTCTCTGGATCATAAGGGGCCTCTACGAACTGAGGCATCCATATCTTCCATCCTCTCTTTTCTGGTGCCACACAAATCGGGTGACCTCAAAAAACCTTTGTGCGTTATGCAGCTATATGCATGAAATCAAGGACACATGCCAACGCAATGCACTCTGTGCTGACGCCTGCAGTTCAATGGGAAAACATTCCCTACGTACGTCCAGTGTGACCCACTAAAACCTGGCCAGTTCCTAACCTCCTTAAGTAGTGTGAACTTGTATGACCACGTCCAGCAAAATGAGATCATTTGATTTGTATAGGGCCACCTTTCTTTTCCATGTCAAAGCAATCGTTGGCCACGACAAACAGGTCTCCTCCAAAGTGAGGCTCAGGTCCTAAGAGCTAGAGCTATAGTAGCTATAGTACTAGTGTGTCGCTTCAGACTGACCTCTTAAGTCAGAGCGTTGAACCATTGGTCGAACCATTGGTGACCTGGCGTGAGGGTTAGATCTAAAGACCTCTAGAGTCGACGAGGTCAGTTCCTGACCTGTTTTGCGGATGATCTCCTCAGGCTGCCGTCCACCTTCCAGGAGAAATTCCACTTAAGTCTATCTTTGCCAGCCAGGCAATGGAAAATGGATCTTAACTGTTTGATCTTCATTTTATATATACAAAATTCATTCCTTTTATCTCTATAGTGACTATAGGCTGCTCCCAAGCTGGAGAAACCAAGAGGACCGAAAGGGGCATCAGCGATCTCTCCCCCTTTTGCCGCTTGCCTTTCGCAAGAAAAGACGTTAGTTCACCGACTCTCCCTAGAACTAACATGGAAGTGGAGTTTACCACCTGTTTGTAGTGGATTTCATGGTCTTCCTTACGGGGCCATTCTCTACTTCCACATTAGTTCTAGGGAGTGTAACTGTTCATCTCATGTTTGAGCGATGAAACCAATCCTCAAAACAAAGGTTATAACCGTTATATATCCACTATAGCTGGGTAGGTGAGGATGGTCTCCCAAGGGCTTTTCAGACCGCCTAAGGACACCCATATCAGAGTCCGCCAGTCCAAAGAGGCCGGAGAGTCTTCCCCTGCGCGCAGCTCAGCCCACGGCGACTCCGGTTTCCCACCACCCCGAGGTCTGGGGCCCCCTGGCCGGTTCGAAGTCCTCATCCAAAGACCTGAGGCTCCGCGAGGTTCCGGCCGTTTTGCAAGTGCGCTTGGCGCGCTGAAGACACCAAGAGCGCGCCAAGGTCCAAAGCGCCGGAGGGTCGGAGGGTCGGAGCTTGGTTCGGAGCTTGGTCGGAGCTTGGTTCCCAAGTGGTTCGAAGCACCCAAGGCGCGGAACAAACGCGCGTGCGCCGCGCCGCGCCCTGTCTGGGTGTCCTGTCTGGTGAGCGGGGTAAGCAGTGTAGGGTTGTCCAGCCAGGTCACCGTGGCTATGGAAGCAGCTGGTACTTACCAACAAAAGCAGTAACATCCACCAAAAGCACAGCTAGTGCAAGGTGTTGGGCTCAGTCCCAGGTACCTGACCCCCTAGCTCGAGGGTCGGGGGCAATCACGGATTTGATATGTTGCAAACAAAGCCTTAAGGTCCAAGTCCCAGACACTCCATGGGACTGCCATATTTACCTACATTGGGGTGGTTTCAGGGGTCAATTGATCGGCAAAGATGCGAGTCCCATGGAGTGTCTGGGAGTTGCAAGTTGCTCAACCTTTGCCAAATGTGCCGAGCACTTGAGATAGACCAGGACAAAGAAAGAAGTCCAGGACAAGCTTGGAGTTCAAGAAAGACTCCCACTATACGCCATTCTGCACTTGCATGCACTTGCCATTTTACTTTTTGTGGCAAACTCTTTCCTTGATAACCATCATCTGGATCATGCCAGCAGCAACATCCCTGAAGAACAAGAACAAATTGAAGGATCCACCACTTTTCGTACCCCTAAAAAGACCGAGTTCAACCTGAACTCATCGCTAGCAATCCTCCTCTGCTATCAATCCATCGGTACCAGTCCCGGTCAAGGCGCAACGGCGAGCTCTACGAGGCTTCCAGCCAACCTCCATCGCCCCTTGCTCAGGCCGCTGCCATAAGCGTAGCTCCCCATCGGCGGCGCCGGAAATCATCCGCCTTTACCGTCGGCACGGTGGCGGTTTTGCTTTTGGTTGATGTTTCAGCCACAGAAATAAAGGATCATCAGTCGTGTCTGGGTATGTACATGGTTGGTTGGTTGTTGTTTCAGAAGATTGGAAGATTCCTAAACAACCTACAGGGCCCCTGATTGGTACAAAAGCTGGGAATGAGCTTCACTCCCAAATATGGGACTTGGATGGACTTGGCATATTTACCGATCACTTCCAGCGGTTTCTTAGGAGTCAATTTACAGACTAAATGTGCCAGTCAAATGGAGTGTCTTGGGCATCCTGATCCTCAACAATGGCAAGCAATGACCTCATATGACTATGACAACTTGGTGGTCCTGGTCTCTCATGCAAACAACTTGGACAAGTCACAAGCAGTGTGGAACATCACCCATGACATGGAATCTGTGTGTGTGGCACATTGATCAGGATGCACGCCACACCCATCCACACCCCCTCTTCTCCCAATTTCTAGACCCTGCAGCCCTGCGGCTTGGGAGTTCTTAACAACGAAAAAACATCCAGTCCCACTGCCGCCATTGAAAGGCTCCTGACACCCTTAGTTTGGAAAAATGAAGGTCAACAAAACTGTTTTGAGTGGGGAAACCCAACCCCCCCCAAGAAATGCTTAACGTATATCCACTTCTGGATACACTAGAACTCCAGAGATGGCGCACTATGAGGCAGCACTAGCATCCACCCCTAGCGTCCCAGCACTAGCGTCCACAGGGCGACGTCCCAGCGGCGTCGGACGTTCCCAGCTGTGACCGACCGCTGGTCCCAGCTGCTTCAGTGACCGACAGGTCACGAGGGCGACCAGGTCACGAGGCTTCAGCTCCCAACGGGTCACGAGGAGCCTAAACGACCATGTGACCTCCAATGTAGGCAGGCACCCCGTCCTGGGGCGGTGCCTCAACTGCCAGTCCCAGGCTGGTCGTGTCTGGTTCCAAACTGCTTCACTTCATGACCGAGCGAGTGAGGGTGACCTTCAGTTCTATGTGACCCTCGAACGAGGCGAACGAAGTATTGTGACCTCCAATGGGCCAGGGATCTGTTCTTCGGGTCACGTTGAAGAACCGACATCGTCTCACCGAATGCATCGGTCGAAAACCCACCATCCCATGTGGTAAGACAATCGCTCCTCAGAGGTTTGGTGTGTAAAATGCCACGCTGTCATGGCCCAAGGATGTGTTTTTCTATTCCAGCGCCTGCGCCAGGTGGTTCACCACACGTATAGAACAAAGTGTTCGGTTTTTGGTCCATCAGGTTCCATCTGGGTCCATCGTTGGAAGATCGAGTGTCTAGTTCTGGAGTCTCAGTATACGTACCTCAGAACATGGGAGCCCCAGTGGTACCTGTTTTTGCTTCGGCTTCATGTCCCCTCAGCTCGCTCCACACAAAAATGGCTGTCCACTCAGCAACCTCGCGTCTCACGTCCGTTCTGGCGGGCTTTTTTCCGGTCCTCGATGGGCGCAGATTCACCGGGTCCTCGCGCACCCCTCACACGCTGTAGATTCGGGCCGCAGCACCCATGCTGGCAGTGGGCTTGAGGCTTGTAGGCCTGCGGTCTGCAGGCGCGTGGCTTCTGCTTTAAAACGCGCGCGCAAGAAGGAAAGGTGGAAGAGTGGAAGCTCCGGCAGCTGCACGGAGAAGTTGTCTCTCTCTCTCTCTCTGGACTTGACTTCGTTCGTACTCTGGAGTCTCATGGGACATGACCCGAACCCAAAAACAAGTGCGCCTGGGGCCCCCATTTTCGGTTCTCCTCACTCAGGTCGACTCTATGGGGTCCTTAGATCTAAGCCTCACGCCAGGTCACCAATGGGTCGACCAAAGACAACGGTCTGACTTAAGAGGTCAGTCTGAAGCGACACACTAACCACTAACCACTAGCCGGACCCTCTAATTGGAGGAGACCTGTTTGTCGTGGCCAACGATTGCTTTGACATGGAAAAGAAAGGTGGCCCTACAAGTCAATGATCTCATTTTGCTGGACGTGGTCATACAAGTTCACACTACTTGAGGAGGTCAGTCACTGACCAGGTTTTACTGGGTCGGACTTATACGTTTTTGGGGTGGTGAAAAGACACACCGTTGCCTTCATTGGGGTCCAGTTCCGGGACCTCGCCTGTCAGTGTACTCATTCCCAAACACTCCATGGGACTGGCCTATGCTCCATACATTGACCCCGACTTCAACCACCCCAACTGATCGGTGAATATATGACAGTCCCATGGAGTGTTTGGGATTTCCTTCTTTTTATACGACCCTAAGACTCCGAAGGCCCTCAGCACTGGACCCGAACTCTCGCGACCCCGAACGGCCCGAACGGGCGTCGACGAATTCCTCGCGGGTCGACGTCTCGAGCTTCTCGCGCGACGGGACGGGATGGAGACGTTGGCCCCGAAACGGAACCCGAAGCGGCGCCCAAAGCTGGACATGTTCGAGCTAGAAGGGTCCAGGAAACTGGACAAGGTCTTCACCGAAGAACTGGTGTCTTTTCTTGGCGTTTTTGTTTTTCTTTTTTCTTTCTATCTCTCTCTCTCTCTCCAGTTGGTGGTGTGTTTGGGTTCAGTTCTGGGAGGGGCCGGATTCTTCATGGGCTTTCCATGCAGAACTGCAGCAATCGCTCATTTTTGGACTATCTTCCCCATCTGGATTGATTATACCCTAGGGCTCCTGGCCTACCTCCGTTTCGAAGATGGTTGGGGTGGGTGCCATGGGGGTCTAACCACCGAACCTGAGGATATGGGCCAGGAGCCCTAGGGCCCTAGGGTATATTGATTATACCACTGCCTCAGCAGTGGGGCCTGACGCCTTAGACCCTGCCGAACTTGCCAAGATGGGCCCCCCGTGGAAGGTGAAAGTCCATCCTCACCAGCTTTGTAATGCTCCTTACGTCTCGACTAAGACCCTTCGTCGTCTTGCAAGTCATGTCATTCCTACCGACCTGGACCATCCACCATCCAAGGCGATCCGGGTGTCCTGGCTGGACTACCCTACACTGCATTAAACAACCAAAATCCCATCCGCATCATTCCGCATCCACATCAGCTCCTTCTCTCCAACCGGTCCTCATGGAGGTCACGATCTTCGCCATGGTCACCGCCAGCGAGGACACCGCCAGCGCCAGCGCCAGGCCCCGCGCCGCGGCGCCCAGCCGTCCGCCGGCGCCCAGCCGCACCGGGCCGTCAGCGCGCGGCGTGGGATCCACCAACTCCTGGAGCGGCGCCGTGGAGGTCGCCGCGGCGGTCCGGCACTGGAAGGGCTGAGGTGATGGCGTGACATGGATGTGTACGGATCTCGTTGTGTTGAGAGGGGGCCAAAAGAGATGTTTCGATAGGAGAAGTGTCACTTGGCCGATCAAAAGGGATGATGAAAAGGCTCTAGGGATGCACTGCCACCCTCTGAGAAAGTGAGGGATATCTTGTTTTTAGGCGCCAGGAGTCCAGGGAGAGGTCAAACCACTTTCTAGGGTGGCAGTGGATCCTTTAGGGAGGGCAATGCATGTATCTTCAGATCTGATCGGGAATGTGTTTGCCCTAGGGCTCCAACCATATCCTCAGAAGGTGGTTAGACCCCCAAAACCCACCCCAACCATCTTCTCACGAGGTAGTTGGAGCCCTAGGGTTGATCAAAAGCTCGTGTTTTTTTTGGAGCTTTTCGGGGATGGCACGATCGTGAATCCCCCAAGAGTTCGTGGGCCGTGCCGCGCGGAACGCCGCAACTCTCTTGGACCGATGGCGGCAGCTTCGCGCTAGGTCATGGCACGACATTCATCACGGTCACGGCAAGCGTCGCAAGCCAACAACAGCGGAGATTTCGGCCCAAGCTGGGGTGTTGTGTGGCTTTGACATCCATCCAAATGAGTCGATCTGCAAAGAAATGACAGCAAAAGCTGGTGTATGTTGCTAACATGAAGGTAACTGACTGCAAGTCAACGATGCTGTGCAAGAATCAGTTGTAAACACAGAATCAGAAGCAAGAATCAGTTGCAAAGTCTCAGATCCGCTCTTTTGCGTGAGCACAACTTGTTCACCTCTGGGCCGTGGCTAACAGTTAGCTATGGCTTTCAAGCCACACCTCCAAGCTTGCTCTATTGGCATGTCTATGACTACAGTGACTACGGCCAGATTATATACTAGCCGTGTTGGCAATAAACTTATAGCTCAGACTCCACTGATATTCTTGTGACATCTTCCGATGTGCACCACTTCAGCTTTAGGTTCCTCCAAAGTTCCAACAGACTCTAAAGGTTAGCCACTGCTGTTCCGACCTCCTGGCACAGGGTCTACGGTCAACCCCTCCCATCCCCTCAAAACCTTCCAACGTACAGCAGGGGCGTCAGTGCTTTTTGGACCTCCCTCATGTCTTCTCCCAACGAAAAAGACACAGCACATCCTCCGCTTCCACAACCGCTCCTCCTCCATGGTCCACATCCTAGAGCAAAGACCTTCTTCGAAGTCAGGAGCCTCCAGGGAGAGGTCACCAGGTACAAACGAACATGCAAACGGCCAGATCTGGGTTTCTTGCAGTAGCGGAACCTCACCAAATCTCGAGGTCATTTTTTGAACCCGTCGTTTGAAGAAGTTTGAAGCATCCAGAAAGAAAACCAACACATGTTTGTTGAGAATTTGACTGTGTTTGTGCTTCGTCTCGAAAGAAGAGAAGCATCCCTTCAGTGGATGCTTAGGCCCTTGAAAGACCTTGAAAACCAAAGACATCCGAAGAAGAAACAGGAGGTGCCATTCACTTCCACATATCCCTAGGGCTCCAACTACCTCCGTTTCGAAGATGGTTGGGGTGGGTGCCATGGGGGTCTGTGCCCACCGGTCACCTGAGGATATGGGGCGTTCGGAGTCCTATAGGGTATATACCTCCACCGGCGGTTCGGTGACCGAGCCAACCGGGCTGGTGACCGGACACCCCGAAAACGGAGGGTTCAGGTAGCAACCATCATTTTACTATAAGGATCTATAATGGATTTTACACTACAAAGCCAGGTCAATCGAACTTATTTTAATGGTCGAACGGCAGGCGACCGGGAGAAGTGTGATTTTTAGGTATCGACACCGAGCAACTGGGTGGCTCAGTCGTCGAACGAAGCACAGGAAGAAGGCACTGCCAGGAAGAACCCTTCACATGTGAAAGTCACTTTTGTGTGGTTGAATTATCTTGAATTTTGATCAACTGTTCGACTCTACTCTGAAACCACTGTATACCACTTCCAATCCCACGCTGCTCCGTCCAGTAGCCTTCTTCCAGCTGGCCCCCTCCACATGCTGCAGCATCTCCTCCTGTGGATTTCAAGATTCGGGCGTGACCATGGTGCTCTTGTGGCTGAAAGCCAAAACAAAATTGAACCTCAAATGGAATCACCTCAGAAGCCCTCAAGACTGTAGCGTGGGAAGCTGGCTCAACTTCCTTCACAGACTGTACAAATGAACAAAGTATTGGATACACAGGCTGTATACAGGCTCCTTCCAAGTATTAGAGTTGTTCTATATTGGACCGCAGCGATAAAGCTGGATCAGCTTCTGACAAACCGCTCGGCTCTATCTGGCCAGATCTCAGGAAAAACAAAGGAACCACCGAGAAGAGGAGGCAGCCACCGCCGCGAAGCCTGCCACCGAGGAAAGAAGGTGCCACTGTGGCACGGAAAGCAGAAGAGCACAACAGGCATCTCCGAGATGGAGGACCACCTGGAAGTTGGAAAATTTCCAGATGGCACGAGAGAGCCAGAGAGGACAAATAAATGAAGAGTGAGAGTCTGGCGCTTGTCTTTTTGCATGATGGAGTCTGGCACGTTGCGCAGTTTCGGCCACAAGTTCTTGGCAGCTTCACTACCGCATACTGGCTCTGCATCTGACACCGCAACAATTGCCAGGCTGAGCTGGAATAGACTGCTCAAGGTTTTGCACTTTGTGTCTTTCCAGCATCGTGACTTCGTGAATTACGTTGAGCTCTGGATGAAGGGTCATCTCTAGAGAATACGTAATGCGTGCGAGTCTTCTGCACTTCCTGTCAACAGGTATCTCCGGCACACGCGGTTTTCTTGAGCCAACAAGGAATTGAGCACGCGCACCTACCGGCTGTCTCAGTTTGGCTACCGGCTGTCTCCATGAGCGCTTGGTGTGCCTACCGACTTGTGGGGCCAAGGACTCAGAGACTCCGCACGAGCTAGTCTATGGCATCGAGCTTGAAGATTGAGTGGAGCATTACCTCCATCTCTGGAGATCTGAGATAGCCCTTGCTCTGGAGATAAAGAGCCAGCGACAGCCCTGTATGGCATCGAGCCTCCACGCGCTGCTCGATGGCTTTGGATCGATTCATGAAAACTCGTTTCGTGGCGATGTCCACCTGATTGGTATCTCGATGAGTTCTTGGTGAACCGCAATCCCCCAATCCAGTTTGGGCAGGTGAGCCACTTCTTCTCAGGTGAGGAGTGACATGGAGTGACATGGAGCCACCGTTAGGCGATCCAAACTCGGAGCCCTTTATATTCTCTTCATGAGGTATGTGGTCAACACTGTCCGTGACCAATGTCAACACCAAATGCCCAAAACCGCCTATAAAACAAAGGTATTGAACACAAAAATGAAAAAAAACGACGGTTCGGCTATCCCAGTTTGGTAACCCATGGTCACTTGATACCTCTGACCTGGTGCAGCTTGGACCAGGTGATCTTCCGGTCCAACGCGTTCCGCGACGTATAGCGTTTGGAGTCGTCCTGGGAGGCACCCACCGGCTCACCGACCTGCTCTTCGAAGAGCTCGGGATGCAATGGGTGGATAGTGCCTGGGCTTCCGTAGATCCCAAACACGAGCTGTTGGGGACTGCCAGCCAGGACGATGAAGGAAACCCCCACCCCAATGTAGGCATGCATATATGGCAGTCCCATGGAGTGTCTGGGGATGGGACTGGACCATGTATACGGAGTCACCAAGGGTCTGAAGGGGCTGAGGTCCTGGGGCTCGTCCCTGCCCAGTGTGGGGGGCACCCCGACTTCAGTTCGGCACCCCGACTTCTGTGACTCCTGGATTATTTACCCAGATCCGGGTGGATTTAAGATGTATTAAGGGTCAATGTAGGCAAGTACTCCAGTCTCATGGATGAGCGAAAAGGGGAAGCTCTGGTCAGCTCTGGTGTGTTGTTGAACCCGCATTCTGTGCCAGGTCCAGGTCCAGCAGCTGGTGGACTGGAATCGACCCAGTTCTTCCAGTGGTGATGCTTCATGAACTTCACATCGGTAATGCATCGCTCGGTGACGGGGACTGTGTCGACGTTTCGCTCCGTGCACGGTGCACGGTGTCGCGGAGTGGCAAAGAATACGACCCCCCAACACACAACTGATGGGACTGCTCATGGCGGCCTATACTATACATTCATGATTCATTCATTCATTCATCCTTTTTCTTCCGTTTTTCCTACCGGGACCCTAATGTATTTCAATCAACAAAAACACACACACAAATTTTGCATATATACTTGATCCCTTCTCAGGGCCTAGATACCTAGAACATCCTAGAACCACTGAGACCCAAAACATGGTCTTTCCCTGTCAAAAGCAGTCACGTCGACGGATCCTTCTCACCACGGACACCCACCCGTCGAGGCTCGGTCAAACGACGACACCAGCAACGAGGAGGGTGCTCGTTGCTGGCGTCCAGCCCGTCGCCGAAAGAACACATAAAAATTTGTAGGGCTGCTGGCCGCCCCCTCCGTTTCGGTTCGATGGGCCAGGGGTGGGTGGATTTGCGGGGTCTGTGCCCACCGGTCACCTCAGGAGATGGGCCAGGAGCCCAAACGGGAATATCCAACAAAGCTCCCAATGCTTGGACCTCCTGAAACGAAGGTCTGGCATCAAAACCCCCGTCCCATCTGAAGCGAAACAAAGCTGTGACTGGAGCCTCACACGGGCGTAGGGATTGGGTTCGACCCCTCCCTCCCCGAACACAGAGGATTCGTACTTCGGCCACTGGAACAAACTGGATGGAGCACGACTGTCGGAGTTTGGAAAATGAAGCGCGGGACTCATGGGTGTCAATCATCACACGGCTTTGGAAAGCACTCCCATTGACATCATTCCTTCCATAATTACCTCGCCTCCTCTTCCCGGCCCTGTTTCCGCTGCCCCGCCTGACATGTGAGGAAATGGGCATTCCTTAGGGTTAGACAGCAGCACAACGGGCCAAACGGACACTTCCAACTGGTGGGAAGAAGCAGACCTACCCTCCATCAAAGCATGCGACCCAATATACACCCCTTTGAAGCTCTTGGTCGTTGTGGGTCTTTATGGTTTTATTCTGGGTCAAAACCATCAGAAGGTTGGAACTTGGAACCCAACGGCCAAGTAACTTAGTGGCAAACAGTTTTTCTTGGCGTAGAGATCCTAGTGATTCGTCCAGATTGAAATTCTGCAAAAGCCTAGTGACTTTCAGGGGTGTTAGGATTCATTTTCACCCACTGTGACAACACTACGTGGATCACTGCTGCCAGATGCTCCTGGAGGGCTCTTTGTGTTTGAAGGAGACCTGTTCTTTCCTTTCTTCGGAGCTGCTCGATTGGTTGGGTCGGAGGTCTTGCTGGGCCAAAGCGCGCCACGTCGAAGGGCACGCATATTCCCCATGGTCCTCCTCCTAACCCCTCCCGTAGAGATCAGCTTCGTGACAGGGCATGACGCTTCCTTGAGGCCTTCTGGGCCATCTACCATCCGGTAAGAAGTGTCCAAAGCCGCCATCGTCATGCGGATCCCCAAAAAATCGAACAGTAGGTCCGATAGAGCAGTACGGAACTCTGCCATATCCAAGTGAGCCAGTGATGCCAATGCTCGCCACAATTCTTGGCCATTGTCATCGGCACATGTTCGTGCGAGCAGGAAAAGATGGCCTACTGCCCGTACTGTTGAAAAACCATGGTGCGCCAGCGGCATGCATGTCCGAAAGAGCTCCTGTCTCTCTTCTGCCGAAGCATCTCCCATGCCTTGATGTCCAACAATGAAGACCATGATATGGCATGCTCGAAGGAACACTGCACCTTCCTGTCCATTGGATCTCTCGGCAAACTCAGCCTCATCCTGAACGAACAGCCCCAGGAGCAAGTATAGAACTTTGAATTGGTACATGCCAACATGTGGCGGCTGAGACACCACCAAGACAGGCACAGCCTGGCTTTTCTGCTGCGCAGGAATCGTGTGAGGTGCGATGCCCTGAGCAATGTAGGGTACCCCCGCATCTTTCTTCATACCGCAAGCGCAATCCTGCATATCGGCATGTCCCTGGATGCTGCCCTTGCCATGAAGCAAAAAGCCCTCACCTTGAAGCTCGATGCCTCTTCGACGCACCACCTGGCCTCTACGGTTGCCGCCAGTGAGCCCTCCTGCTTTCTGAGGCGCCCTCGGAGGGGGCGCGAGCGTACGGAAGCCGCTGTCCCAAGTGGGCGTACGGGCTAATTCGCTGCTATTTACTATTTACAGTGCATTCACTCAGCTTGAGATCTTCGATGTGCATTTCGACTGCGCTCTCTTGTGTTGCCACCACCACTATCACCACAACCATCACCGCCACCATCACCAGCACCACCGCCACCAGCACCACCAGCACCAGCACGAAGACCGCGCACAACCAGCACCAGCACGACCACGACCACCATCACCCACACCCCACACCCCCACCCTCACCACCGTGAGACCACAGTGACCACTATCACCATCGCCACCATCATCATCACCACCATCACCTCTCTGTGGAGCCCAATACGTCTAGATCTCTAGACCTTAGACGTTTAGGCACTGTTTGGGGTCTCTTGCCGGGTCAATTGTGTTTTTGTCAGGCAACGCCTTTCCGTGTTGGTCGGTTCTCCAACTTCCTCATCACGCGAACACATACACACACACCTTGACATGAACAAGTATGTTCTGTAGTATAATTTCATGGTTGGATATGTGAGATACATGAATGGCATGTGAAATTGTTGTTTACCCCTGGCTAGCTTGTTAGGTAAGCAAAACCAGACATGGAAAATCTGCTTTGCAACATAAGCGATACTATTGGAGTTCCGTAGGTGTAAAGGACCAGTTCCAAAGCTGTGCGCCGCTTGCCATGAAGAACTCTGTCACTATCCGGGGCAAGGTCGTGGAATTCAACAAACGCACAGTCCCTACAGTTGGTTTTGATTCTGAGGTGTTAGTGTCTATGGGATTTCGATCTACTAAAGCTGCTCAGTCGGTCTTGCGGGTTGGCACAAGGGCTGTTGGAGTCTTAGCAACGCGGCGGACGTCGCTGCATGCCGTCAGCAGGGGGGTCGGCTCACCGCATGCCGTCTAAAACCTGTTGCCCACCGCATCAATGCAACTGGAAGATGTTGGGTCAATCCATTAAACATATCCTAGGCTGACACCCTCCGTTTCCTTGAAGAAAAACTTTCAGTTCGTTTTGAGGAACCATTTGCCCATACTTGCCCAGTTCCAAGGTTTTGCAGGTAAACCACTTTTCCTGGGTATAGGTATCAAGGTTAAACAAAATCAGTGAACGCTCTGAATCATGCATTGCAAAAGTCGCCCATAGTCTGCCTCTTCAACCACCCCAGCAAAGCAGTATGTCCCATACTATGTATCCAGTCGAGTGCTTGGGAATGTAAAAAAATAACATCATCACCCCAACTCCACACCGTCAAGTCGTTTCTGAAACCTCCATCCCCGCAAGGCCTAGGCGCTTGTGGATAGGCATGGTGCATCCATTGCTGGAATAGCCGGCCATGCAACGGCACCTTCCAGCAGAACTCGTCTTGGATTGGAGTCTTTGAATCACATATGGCTTGGGTCTATCCTATTACCAGTAACAGTGGATTTTTGCTTTGGTTCAGTTGCGGCCTTTGTTAATTAGTGATCACTGACTGAGTGACTGACTGTCACAGGTAAGTTCGGACAAGCCCAACATATGGGTTTGTGGGGAGACCTCCTTCCTCGCCACTGGCTGGGTAAACAGGTCTATTGTCCGACCGTCCAGGTGGCTGAACTGGAAAGTCTCGTTATATGAGGCCACAGCCATATGCCGCACCCCGAAAGTGTTCTTCACCAGGGGGGAAGGTGAAAGACGCACTGGAGCTGATCCCCAGGCCTGAAGACAACACTCTGAAAGCACCATAGCTGAAGAAACTTCCTTCTATATTGGCAGATCCAAACATGATGAACAAGTACAAAAGCAAAGTCTAGACCAATTTCCGCCAAGACCACAATAACAAGCCATACAATTAGCCACTGAACACGGCCCCCTGAAGGACACACAACCACTTACCCAGCTTTTTGCTGGTGAAACCTAGATCTTCTCTGAGCCCACAACCTCCTGGCCCATCTCCTCAGGTGACTGGTGGGCACAGACCCACCCGCCGCGCCTGTCCACCGTGGTGCTGCGCCACGTCCTGCAGCTTCCGGCGGAGCGCTGGAGGCACCACGCTGGAGCGGTTGAGGCTGCCGAGGATCTGCGGCACCGTGGCCTCCGGGTGGAGCGCAGCGGAACGCGGAGCCCGGAGCGGAAGGAGCCTCGCTATTCTGGGGTTCATCCAATGCAACAAAAATAACACACACACAGGCAAAAACAAACATCGCTAAATATTTATATCATCAGAATCATCATCTCATATGAAGTAGGGTGTTCTGACAGCTGCCTTTTAATTCGCATCAAGAACTCACAGCTGATCACCCCTCCCGCTCTCCCGCTCTCCCTCTCCGTGGTGAAAACCATGCCCACGCCTCATGAGTTCCCAATTGCTCCTCCAAACTCCGCATCTTGGCTTCGCACTCATCGATGCAGCACACCGCCACATAGCCTCGCCCCCGCCCCGGTGTCACTCCAATAGCCCCGGGGCCGCCGGTCCAGCCCCGTTGGACCTTGAGACCCGGGCTGTAGGGGGTCTGTGCTTGGACCGAAGTGGTCGGTGGAAAGTGGGGGAAAACATGGACACAGAACTGGACCCTTGGATGAAGGGCGGGGATTCATCCACTTCGTCAGTTCGTCACCTTTCTATCGAACCGAGGCCATTCTTCCCATCCCCGACAAACCAACCACTTGCTAGCAAGAGTAACTCCAGCTAGCTGAAGCTAGCTGAAGCTGAAGCTAGCAACGACAAGCCTCATGAGTCCCCACCAGTGCTCGCGTAGGTGGTGCTGTCGATGAGTTTCAGACGGTCCAACTCCGGGGTCCCATGGGTACTAAGGGGGTGCGAAGAGGAAAAACACACATGAGGTCAATCCAAACAGTCAACAGTCTAGTTCGCAGTGGCTCTTGAACCCTATCTGGAAGTGGCTCGGTAAATCCAATGCGTGTTCTCTTTCTGGTTGGGGGGTGATCTTGGACCAAAACATAAAGGTTTTTTTGGAGGATGCTCACAGTCTAATCACATAGATCCTTCTTATTGCACTCCGTCAGGACTCTTGGCTCATGGCTCCCAGGTGGTGGTTGACAGGCTTTGCCAACAAAAATAGTCCTTGGGATTTGAGTGACGGATAACATGTTGCAAAGTTTGGATTCAAACGCTTCAAAGACCATCCCCCTACCATTGCTGAAAGCCTCAAATGACTTGCCTGAAGCTTGATTCACCAGCTCCATACCTACCCAAATGCCATCGCCGATCGACCTCCCATCGAATCCATCGAATCCTCGGGTTCGAGTCGGCTCGACGTCGGCTCGACAGCCTGACGAGGCGATGCAGTTGGAGGGCCCCAGGATGTAGTTCGGCACGATCACACGCATCACCTGCCGAAGGTCGAGCGAGGAACCGGAACCCATAGCCGCAAGTCTGCGCTTCGGCCGGCGCCAGCGCTTCGGCCGGCGCTTCGGGTGACCGTCTCAAGGACCCCCGTCACCGAAGAAGTACCTATACCAGCACCCGACTTCACAGGTCGCCGATTGGGCCCGGTTTCGGTGCTGCTATGGGAGAGTCTATAGCTATACCTAGAATACCTCTTCTTGGGCAAACATTTCTGCCTATTATGGACTTTGCCCGTGCTTAGGCGTTCTTGCCCCCTTTGGGCGTTCTTGTCCTTTTGGTGGCATTGCTCCAATAGATGAGGATCCACCCACCACTGATTCCAGGAACTTTCTTGGTGGGTACATTTGTTTGTCAGGAATTCACTTATATAATGTTTCTCTTGTGATTTCTTTTGTATGTTTTTAGTTGTTCTATGCTTTGATTCATTGCTTTAATATCTTTTCGCGTAGGTGTTCTTCCCATCACTTAGGCGTTCTTGCCCGTTACTTGGGCGTTCTTGCCCGTTACTTAGGCGTTCTTGCCCGTTCCCCCCTCACTACAATCAGTAGTTGGGCGGACAACGGAATGGTAGCCTTTTGGGGGGAGTGAGCGACATGAGCTTCAATAACTTTAGACTGGGGATTAGCGTCAAGTGGCAGGCGTTTGTTTTCTCAATGTTTGTCATTCAAATGTTGGCTCTGCCTCCTGCATGTAAGAATGCATGTGACTGTGCCTCGGCGTTTTTGACCCTCGAGGCTGCAGCTGCAGGGCGTTCTTTGCAACAATCGGACTGAATTTTCTGCCTAAATGGCCTTGGGCGGAAATTATTGCCTAACGAGGTTCTAGGTATAGCAGGGTCCTCCAACCTCCGGCGAGGCGAACACCGCGAGGTCGACTGGTTCAGTCTCCCGTGCGTCGGACGGACGTCCGCGAGAGGTGGTGCGACGTGTCTCGGGCGGCCTCATGGGGGGAGAACCCGCAGTGGTTGAAGAACCCGAACTAGACTATATACCCTAGAAGTCCAAAGACTATATTTTGACCGGCTGAAGTAAAGGAAGTTCCCTTTCAGGTCCCCTAAAGACCATTCTTTTTATAGTCTTTGACTCCCAGGGCTATATGTACCCCTGTAGGGTCCTAGTTCAGGTCACTGGCTACCTCTGTAGGAAGGTCTCAGGATGGAGGGAACGAATTTTCGGATGGTCTTTGGTCAAGTCAACACACTGGGTTGGTCCATGAAGATGGGCTTGTGGACAACCACAAGTGGCCTTGGCGAGCTCAGACTGCAAAGGACCCGCACCAACGCAGAGAGATCCAGCAGGGGACATGGGTTTCAATGTGATTCCCTTCTTTTTAACCTATAACCCTAAGAATCGAGGAACCTCAAAGGTGAAGGTTTGGTTCGGGTCCAAACCCCTGCGTTCTGCAGGGTCCAAAACCTCCAGTTTGGAGGGTCCAATGATTCTTAGGGAAGGAAAACCAATATGCAGGTGGAAAGGTTGGATGCCGCTCCATCAACTCCTGCATCAGGCTCAGGGAGTCCTAGTCCCTTGCGACTGCGTTGCTTTTTTGCGGGCTGTTCATGTGATTTCAGATCTTCGCCTGCCTTGCAAGCACGACTTTCACCGCTCCAATTATACCAAAGGAGTCACAAGACGGGGTGCCGAACTTGGAGGATAGGGGTCCCCAGAACATCCACTCACTGGCTGGGACTAAAAACCACCCCTTTGTGATAAACGAGAAGCAAAAGGACATCGATCTAGATCACTTCTGTCCTAGGCCCTTTCTATGTGACCGAACCAAGCATGCTCAGGATTTGAAACCGCTAAGGTGTGTATTAGACGTCCAAAACAGAACAAAACCCGTGGTTTCAGAGTAGATGGCACAGACCCATCTAATGTCCTTTAGATTGGGTCTATCATTGCACCATCTCTTGTGGTCTGTGCCCTCCTCTCAATCCACTCGCGACGCTCGCCTCACGCGACCTGACCTCCGCCCGCCTTGGGGTCTGACTCATCCAGTGCCCCCAAACGCCGCAAATACGCCACGCTTTCGCCTCAAGGGGCGGCGTGACAAACGGAGAAGACCAACGGCCGACCGTACGAGGGGTGGGACTTTGGGGTTCCATGTCGTTTGGTGTATCGTTCCCAGACACGAACGACCAGTCTGGGACTGCCATAGACTTTCCCATCAATCAGGTCCAGGGGTGGTGAAAGGGGGGTCAATGGGGCGGCAAGATGGCAGTCCCATGGGTCGTGTCTGGGGTTGGATTTTCAAGCGCGATGGGTCCTGAGGAAGATCTTTGGGTCCTTCTGAACTGCCACGGCGCTGGAACAATTCCCCCAACTTCCGGGTGGCTAGGTTTTGAATGGTTTTGAATCATCAAATCCCATCAAACATCAAGTTTTTGGCAGCTATTTGGTAACGCTTGGGGACAGAAGGATTTCGGGTTTTAATTTCTGGGTTTGTGGGACCGGGGATAGGATTTGAGAAGTCAACGTCTGACAAATTCAATACAAAAGGCTTAAAAGATTCTGTGAATGGCTGATTGGAGACCACCTGAAGCTGTCCAAAAAATCGCTACCCATTTTCCTGATTCCTCGGGGACCTTGCTACTCACTGGATACGCCCTGGTTCCGCGACCCGCATGCACCCTGAGTTCACCACGTCCAGAACCTGGAAATCCATCGTCGACCCGCCATCGTCCCATGCCATCGTCTTCTTCGTGGGTCTCGATTTCCCGGGTTCCCTCGTCCACAGCTTCCCAGGTCCACGCCAGGTGGCTGAACTGCCAGTGGCCTGCAAGCACACTCCGGAACACGCTCCGTCGGACGCGCTCCGTCGGACGCCGCGGTCTCCGGTACGAGCAGGCAGGTATTCCAGGTGACGGAAGGCATAGAACATGATTATCCCGTTTGGGCTCCTGGCCTACCTCCGTTTCGAAGATGGGTCTAACCACCGAACCTGAGGATATGGGGCATTCGGAGCCCTAGGGTATACCATATTATACCAGCACCCGAGGAGAACAGGTCTCTTCGTTTGAGAGTTTGTTAGGCCTTAGAAGGTCTCAAGTGGTGACCCGTAGAGTCGGGTGCTGGATTTGGAGTCGGTGATCATATCCCAGTCCCACCGGTGTCAAATGGAGCTGTCATGCAATTCTGAATTCATCTTGGGGGGCCCCAGACCATGAACCATCCCAGACCGAACTGGAAGAGTTACACACAATGGAGGGGCCACTTGGATGGGAATTGCATGTAACTCTTCCAGTCCCTTTCGATCCTTCGTCTGGTCGACGGGTAAGTATATGATCCAGCATCGATCCAGCCATCACATCACATGCCCCATCCGTCCCCGTCCGCGTCGCTTTTCACGCGAACCGCGCGCGCGCGCGCGCCCCGTCGCCGCCCCAACACCACCAGCTGCGGCGCGCTCGGAGGACGCACGGGAGTCGCGAGCTGGTCGTTGGACGGAGCGGTGAGAAAAACATGTATACGAACAATCACCACCACAACCCGAATCACCTGGACCCGACTTCAAGTACTCTAGAAACTGGGACATGAACATGACCCTATACTGGTGCCCAGGAGCTCCAAGGTGAGACATCCAGGAGCTCTCGGAAGTCTCGGCCTCCACGAACGGCCATGGCATAGAAGTCGCTCAAGCGCACACGTCCCGTGTTGGGATGCTCCTCGAAGGTCAGTTGATCCGGTTGAGGGACGGTGGCGCTACAGGGTCGGTGGGTGTTGACGCGTGGGTCCGTCGAAAAAGCGACCAAATGACATGGGGTCACCTTCATCTTAAGAGTTTGTCAAAGCAAAAAGCATCATATAGTACTAAACAGCATCATCAATTCAGGTTGGAGATGTGTAGAGATGTGGTTTTCCGGGGTCCGGGATGAGATCATGTTGGAGATGTGTGGAGTGGAGTCTTTCGCAATGCGTTTGTTTAATAAGATGTATTTTGGGAACAGGATCATCCTTTGGCTCTCCCTTACTCAGGCGACTTATACAATCCGGGAGTCACAAAGCTCGGCATGGTCTTTAGCCCCATCCAGTGAGTGGATGTGACAGGGGCATCCGGAGGAAGTTCGGCACCCCTATCTCTGACTCCTGGATCTTCATGGTTGAATCATTTCACCATCATTGATTTGAGTAGTATCGCCAAATGGGCGAAGGAAAATATAGCAACCACTAGCAACCTATGGCAATGTCCCATTGCCTATTTGAACGAAATCAACCAAATGTGAAACAAATCCAGTAGAAACCAACACTCAACCAGACTCTAAGGCTTTAATCACCTTGAAGGTCATTCGCCCCTCCACCCCAGGAGCTAGCTGGAACACTCTGAAAGGAATCCCCAAACCAACCTCACAGGCACCAAACGAAGGGCTTCGTTTTGGCTGGGACACAGGAGCCGAGCGAAAAACACCCAAAAGCCCTACAACCACCACCCACCCGCGTCGGCGCGTCGGCGCGTCCCTTCTCTCCTCTTGCTGCAGCAACTGGTGCTTGAGCTCCGAACACTCCTGGCTTTGCCACCGGCCATAGCGTTCCTCACCACGCGGCGGCCGCGTACCGAGGCACTGCCGAGCCGTTTCGCGGAACCGCGAAACGAGCCGAGCCGTGCCCTGGGCCGTGGGGTGGACACCCAGGAGTAGGGCAGTGACACCCCGAAGATCGATCGATCCATTTCCCAAACACTCCAGACGTGTACCATCATATGCCTATTATATATTGAACCCCCAAACCACCACCCCTGGCCTGATCGGCATAATTCTATGGCAGTCCCATGGAGTGCAGAGGAGTCTCCGAGGTCTGCAGTCTCCGGTGCCATGATCCCATGATCCCGACCCGAGGTCTGGGGTCGCGATCCGGGCACACACACCGACCGAAAGGAATCGAGACGACCAATGGAGCATTGGTATGACCAAAAATTCCGAAGTTTCTGATCCCAGGATACGGATCACCAAACAATCACAGATCGAGCATGGAACCACAATGAAGGAGGTTCCTTCCATGTTGGGGAACAGAGTTCATTTGCTACCAGGTTTTTGGAGTGCTAGAGCTATAGCCCAGACAACCCATGGGACTGGCAGGACGGACTGCCGAGAAACGGCCAGGGGTGGTTGGGTGGTGCCAGGGGGGTCTGGCTTGATCGGCAGTCCTATGGCAGTCCCATGGTGGGTGGTGTGGACCCCATCTGTCCACAAGACATGTCATGTCTGAGACGTGTCAGTGCCATCTTTAGTGGTCCCCAAATAGATTGAAACGGTTTCCAATACATTCTTAGTGGGGGATAGTGGGGGTCTATATACTCTGAAACCACTGTATACATGGTGTACGCGTGGTGGCAAATCCCCAGCATCGCCCCATGCTCTCGCTTCACTGTGCTCAGCCACTCCTATGGATCGCCAGTTGAGGTGTAGCTACCATGAAACCGACTCTCGCGAAGGCATGCCGTCCTGCCAAAAGCCATCACGAAGGGAAATCACAATCCGTAATCATCCGCATCAATAGGGCAATTGGAGATTCAGTTGGAACAGGCCAGCGGCTAGCTAGCATTCCAGCAAACCATCTATAATGCGATCCCCCCCGCTTCTCTCCGACCGCGTGGCGCGCGTCGGTTGCGTCGGCAGGGCCAAGGGACGCCCGCAGCGGCGACCACGGCGGACAATTGGGAGAATCTCAGCGGCGACCGCGCCGGATCTCCGGAGCGGGACGAAGATTCCCGCGGGAAGTGGGGGTGCAAAGGCAACACGAAAAAGCCAAACGCTATAGGTACTACTTAAGGTGTTTGTTTGAACACGGGTTGAACTACTGGTTGAGTTGTGGAAGTGATCACTTTCCTGTGCCTGAACAGATGATGAAGTTTTTTCATATATTTGAATGTTAGGGACACATTCGTCGCACCAAAGAACCGAGGTTTCTCGAGATTGGTCCCTCTATCTGCAAGTCAGGAAGGTTTCGAGCAGCTCCATAGCTGCTTGAGTTCGCGCTTCATGGGTTGGCTTTGATTTGATCGCTTTGGAGATGTCTTTTTGTAGAGATTCTTTTGCCGTTAGTGCACCCAACATCTGTCAGTTTGCTTGGACGAACGTAGCTCCTGTATACTTTGGAAGATGGGAGTGCCACACATGATCACATGGAGTTTTGGTCGGGAGACCCCATGAGACCACCTGGCCTCTTGCTTCGATCACCGGCGGGTACGGCCTCGCAGCCACCGAACCGAACCCAGGGGGGTGGGTTACAAGGTGTCGGTCTGGGACTCGCACGAGTTCATGCGTCACCAAAGAACACCCCGCCACGAACGCTGACATTGAGGAGTCAATATAGTCAATCTCAAGTTTTAGGTTGAAAACTACTGTGAACCTCGGAAGTCACACATGTCACATGAGCCCATACCCTCTGAATCCAAGTACCTTCTCAGGTACAGTGATGTGTTCGACACTCTTGTGTGCCAGGAGGATCCAGTCGTACCTTCTGCGATGGTGAAAAAAAATGCAGCACGTATAATTAGTAGAGTTAACTGATGTCAGTATCCCAACAGGATCCACATGCACATACCCTGTGAGCAAGTGTTTGCAGGGAGACTCTGTTGGAAAAAGGAAACCGCCGGGTCGGGTCCAATCACTTTCGCCCGGTCGGGTACGATGGGAGTGCATCCTCCAGCAGTCACGTTCGACGGGGTGCTATCCATGGAGGTAGTCGGTGTGCCCCTGTCACATCCACTCACGTAAGGGGACCAAACACCACCCCGTCTTGTGACTCCTGGCTTAGGGATATATGCATCCTGCGGTAGCTTCTCATACCGCCTAACCCGATGAAGAAAAGTGACCTGTCACGACGAGACTCCCCTGCTTGAGGAGAAAATCCCCCGACCTGTCACGACATGTCGCCATTGCAAAGAGTCCCGGTGGACACCGCCCGGACGTTCGACGTGCCCAAGCCGCGTGAAGTTCACGAGTCCCGGTGCCACCTCCTGGCAAGGCCAGACCGACTTAGGAAGAAAGCTGGGAAGACTTTCATCTGTGATGCGTCAGTCCTTTTCAATCCCAAAACACACACTTGCAACAGGACACACCAGGACCTGGTACCAGGACCTCGTGACCGTGTTTTTGAGATCGGATGTGAGGTCACAAAAATCGGCAATTGAAAGGTCGGATGAGACTCCATAGAACTGAAGCTCCTTGTCACACACCCGGATCAACATGGATCCACATATCCAATACCAACACCCTCCAACAGGTCTCCTCTAGAGGCTTTTGCTGACCTAAAAGTCGAAGGTGGTGACCTGTTGGAGGGTGCTGGTAGAGGTGGTGTGTTCGACACTAGAGAAAATGGCACCACCACCCTGGGGTCCAAAGAGAACACTTCATAGCTGCCAATTCCGGATGACACCTCGGACACTTAAAGAAGAACTATCCCTGGACACCCAACAAACAACCAGAAACAACCAGCAGTCACGTTCGACGGGGGTGCTATCCATGGAGGTTAGGGGTGCCTGGCTGGGACGAGCCACACCACCCCGTCGAACGTAACTCCTGGACCTTGGATGTTTCAACCTGCCAACCACAGCCGTATGCCCGAAAACCTGAGCCGAACGTTCCGCTCCACCGTCCGTCTCATTCAGTCACGGAACAACGGAACATCCCGACGTTACAGTCCCAGACGCTCCATGTCTGTCATATATGCCTACATTGACCCCTCAAACCACCCCAACTGATCGGTAAATATGCCAGTCCCATGGAGTGTCTGGAAGTGGCTGCCAGGGAGTTCGGTGCACAGGAACTCGGAACACCTGCGACACCCGGTAGTTCCGAGACTTGAGACCCACATGGAACCTTCCAACATCTGAAAACGGGCAGTCCATGGGTCGCCCGGTTTCCACACCGCATCGCCCCCGTCAAAGGTGTCCGCCTCACCCCACGGCGCGCCTGTCGGATCTGCTGCACGAAGGACACCGTGTTGGGCCAAGTGGGGTACTGCTCATGGACCTGGGTCCACGCCCGGTCCGGCCACGGTCCACGCCCGGTCCGGCCACGCGTGGGCTGACCGTACACCGCCACGGCCAGGCTTGGAGACGGACCTCTGGACCCCGGCGACGGTCACCTTCGTACCGAACGGAGAAATTCAGGTATACATATGCCATAGACCCAAGGCATTCCATGTAATTATGCCCACAATTTGTACTTACATTGGGGTGGTTGAAAAGGGGCCAAGTTTCAATGGCATCTATTCCATCATATTCCGTGTATGAACTGTATGGGACACATGAACTGTCTGGGATCTAAGAATACGACACGTGTCCTGAAAAACGGCGGACACCAGTGCAGTCCGGTTTCCCGCCCGTGCCGTGCGAAGCTCCCATCGAAGCATGAAAGACGGAGGGAGGACAGTGAGTCCTAGACCCAAACTCTGCATGTAAGGGATATTTACCTACATTGGGGTGGTTTTCATGGTGAATGTATAGGTCTATAGTCCATTTTTTCCAGAAGTGGGTCACACCCGTATGGCCCTGTCTCAGCTAGCACACCTGCTCTCAGCACTTTGCTACGTTCATAGCGATGGCCTCCGACCTAAGAGCGATGGCCACAGTCCGTGCGTAGCTTCAGAAGCTACGTTCATAGCGATGGCCTCCACCTACCAGGATTCACAAAGGGGTGGTGTTTAGTCCCATCCAGGAGTGGATGTTCTGGGCACCCCTAACCTCCATGGATAGCACCCCTTTGAAACGTCCTGGTAATAGCATCTTTGTTAGGAAGGTCTATGGCCCAGTGACGTCGTCCAGCTTCTGAAACATCTTGCTTCTGGACAACTGCCTCAGGCGTGGGCCGCGTGGGGGGGGAAGGTGCCCACCGGTGAGGCAGTCGCAAAGCACATCGCTTCAGCGTTGGCGAAAAGCTTTCGAGCATAGAAAGACTAAGTCCCAGCAGTCACAAGACGGGGTGCTATCCATGAAGGTTAGGGGTGCCTAGAACATCCACTCACTGGCTGGGACTAAACACCACTCCGTCTTGTGACTCCTGGTCTGTGTTTCTTTTAGTGTTGGACCAAATGGTGGGCTGGAAAGGCATCCCCTCCGACTTGCTGCTGCGCGGACCCTTTCACAGCGGACAGTGGACATGTGTAGACCAGTGTCGACCATGCATTCGATTCCAGCTTCCACCTTCCGCTGAGAATACTCCACCTTCCGGTAGTCCACCTTCCGCAACTGAGTCTCTTTGGGGTCCTATACCTTTCTATAGCCAAGCCTGCAGGACATTTCTACCAGATGGCGATGGGTTCTGTGCCCGAACACGTCGGGTTTTCATGTGTGGATGTGTTCTACTGCCATCAACCCTCTAAGAACTGAGAAACATGTTCGTTGAGATTCATTCCCCCTAGGGCTCCTGGCCCATATCCTCAGAAGGTGGTTAGACCCCCATGGCACCCACCCCAACCGTTGGAGCCCTAGGGTCCATAATATTTATCCACTGCTAGCTTCGGAGAAGGTGATGTGTTCAACACTCTCATGTAGGCTTGGCGGGCTCCAATCATCTTCCCTAGGGATAAAAGAACACCCAAACATCTCAAAACCCAGACCATCCATGGGACTGGAATAGTTGCATACATTTACCTCATTTATTACAGTAACTGTTCCAGTCCCTGGATGGTTTGGGAAAGATATGATCGATGCCCAGTGACTGGGCATCGGAGCCCATGACAAAGCTGGCCATATAGATCTCCAAGATGGCCATGGACCTCGCGATGGAGTCATCGCCATGAAAGTGGGTGTGTTCGTGGGACCTCCAGGACCTCTAGGTAACCTGGATGGTTGGAGGGGAAAAACATGACGAAATGTCCATGAACTCCAGCGTTCTCGCAGTCGGGTACCCTGTCTTTTGCATCTTGAGCCACGAACGAAGCTACGAACGGAGCATGCAACGGGCATCGCGTTCCGCCGGCTCCGGAGCATTCGATCGGACGCAGGGCCTCGATCGGACGCGATGTTCGCTCCACGGTTTCGCACCGGCTCGGGACGGCACCGCAGGTGTTCGGTGCACGGTTTCGCACCGTACCGACATGGACCTGTAGTTAGTGGTGAGGTGCCGCCCGTGTGCTGATGACTTTTCTTCCATGGAAGTGGTGATGTCCTGCATGGAAGAGGCTCAACCAATGCGATAATCAACATGGTTTGACAATATATGCATCCCAGTACAGCTTACGAATCCATGACAATCCCCACGAAGTCTATAGAAGGACGCCGCCTCTTTATGGAGTCAATGGCACCAATTCCATACCTGGAGTCTCAAAGTACCTTTGAAAATGGGCACAAGATGGTGCAAGCCCAAGGGATCCAAGTACCCAGGTGATTGGACACACTGTCATGTATGTTTGGAGGGTCCAGTCGTACCTTTTGAGAAGGTATGACTGGATCCCTAGGGAAGTACCTGTCTCATGCCACTTTTTCTAGAGTAGTGGGGTAGCCGGTAACGTTGGTATAGCTCTATCCCAGACGCGACCGGTCTGGGACCCGCATCATTGACCACATTCACTGACCCCTGAAACTCACCACCCCTAAGGTATGTGAATATGCCAGTCCCATGGAGGGTAAAACTGGAACTTGGGTATCTCCCATTACCAGGGCCAACAGCGGACGATGATGGCTAGCCAACTGTTACACACCAGGGCTCCTGTTCTACCTCTGTTTCGATCATGCTTGGGGTGGGTGTCGGGGGGCCTAACCACTGAACCTGAGGATATGGGCCAGGAACCCTAGGGACAGGTCGACGACCTCATTTTACTGGAGTTGAGTGGCCTCCACCCTAGTAGCGATGGCCTCCACCCTAGTAGTGTCCTTGCTACTGGGTCAGAATATAGCTGTCTGTTTCCTTGATGGTCCAAAAGCGCTGCTGAAGGGCTCGTTGACACTCAGACTCTGATCCAGGGGAACACGAAGGGCATCAAAGCTGGCAGCCAAACGTACCTTGGGCCGCGGCCACGCCACGAAAATCTGGGAGGTGACCAGTCAATTGGATGGGAATCTCAACCAACTGGATGATATGATAACCCCAAATCTTGCCAAATTCAGTCAACAGGCGCACGCCGTAGAAAACGGAGCTGCGCTCAAAAAAAAAGCTCAGCTGCACATAGGCAACTCAACCTCCGGAGCCTCTTGAGTATGATAGTGCCCTCCATGCTAATGTATTAATAAACCCCCGAGATGAAACTTCAAAAGGATTGTCCATTTCAAATGGGTGGGTTTATTCATCAAGAGTCTCATATTATCATGCACCCTGAAGAAAAAACCCTTAAGTAGGGCATACATAGACATGTTTCCAAATACCAACCCAGTGGTTTTTGAGAGTCCATGTGATCCTCTGCCTCAGATCAAGTGAGCCATGGTCCACCTTGTGCGTGAACACGGCGCCCGGTTCGGCCGTTCGGCTGTGGGGCGCCACGGAACAGCTGAACCACAACCTTACACGTTTCAGCCAATCGTGCTTATGGAAGGGTAGGGGGGTGCCCAGAACCCACTGGGGGACTAAACAAAAACACATTGCTTTGGATGTTTTCTGGTTCAGTTTAGGTCTCATCTCCGTCTTGCACCTCATGTCCATCATTCCTTGTGCGATATCGAGGTCCGGGAGGCCAACGGGAAGTGGTTTGCTGCTCAAGGCACATCTGCTTCGGAATGCACCATATTCTCCTCAGGTCTGGGTCGGAGTCGAACGAACAACTTCATCGGACAAAGAATGGAAGCGAAGTGAAAAAAAAACGATCTCGCAACAGATCGATTCAAGTGAGAACACATTTCACCGCTGGAATAGTTGCATGAAAACCGATCCAAATGACCTTATCCGTATTTAACTCCCTCAGTTTCCCTGGACAAACATGATTTAACCCTTTTCCACCTAGCCCTGTTTAGTGATAAACACAATCTCCAAAAAAGGTTAAAGGTTATCCACTGACTGACTAGGATAGCTCTTCCAGTCCCATGTTTGTCTGGTCTGGGAGGGGTCAGGGCTTGGACAGGTCACACATCCTACAGGTCCGACTCTCAAGCCGGTTTTGCGCCGGGTTCCCTGGAAAAGACATCCTTTGTTCCACCTTTGTTCCATTAGTGAAGAAACCACATCACCACACCCACCTTTCCTGGCTAGGATGTGGTGCAATCTGGGCAGTTGGGTGACACACAGGGATCACCCGAAAACCTGTTACTCGTTGTGTTTTCTTGTCGGCTGACAGCGGCTGTTGGTGCTAAGAGCGGTTTTGCGGGTGAATTGGAACAGCCACGACCAAGACCAACCTGGAGCTCTGGCTGTGGGTGATTGGTTCCTTTCATCAGCACATGAAAGATGGTTTGTGATGAGCTGAGAATCACTTGTCTTGGATAGAACGAAGTCATGCCCAGCATGAAGAGTTATCTTGGGCATGACTCCATCATCTTCAAGTCCACCACCATCACACAGGATCGCATAGAATTTGTTTGTTTCGCAACGGACTCTTCGAAAATGACGAACCAGCAAGTCATGAACACCCACCTGCCTTACACATGAAGATCCCCATCGAACTGTAAAGAAAATTACACCACCGTAGACCCAAAACAGGTTAGACAACAACGCGTTCCCAAGTCCACTTTTTGAGACATCAACAAGAAGGGAGACAAGGTGGACAGTGACCAACAAGAAGGAAGACAAGAAGGGAGAGAAAAGGAAACACAAAGAGAGACAAGGCGGACACAATGACCAACAAGAAGGGAGACAAAAGGAAACAGAAGGGAGACAAGACGAACACAATGACCAACAAGAAGGGAGACAAGGCAAAAGAAGGGAGACAATGACAAACAAGAAGGGAGACAAAGGGAGACAAGAAGGAAGATAAGGCGGACACAATGACCAACAAGAAGGGAGACAACAAAGGAGACAAGAAGGGAACAGAAGGGAGACAAGACGGACAAAGCGACCAACAAGAAGTGAGACAAAACTGGAGACAAAGGGAGACAAAAAGGGAGACAAGGCGGACACAATGAAGGGAGACAAGAAGGCAAACAAAAGGAAAAAAGGGAGACAAGACAGACATAATGACCAACAAGAAGGGAGACAACAAGGAAACAGAGGGAGACAAAGGGAGACAGAAAGGAGACAAGGGAGACAAAGAAAGGAAGGCAGAAGGGAGACAAGGTGGACACAATGACCAATAAGAAGGGGGACAAGACTGGAGACACAAGGAAACAGAAGGGAGACAATGCGGACACAATGACCCACAAGAAGGGAGACAAGACCGGAGACACAGGGAGACAAGAATGAAGACAAAGCGAACACAGTGACCAACAAGAAGGGAGACAAGACCGGAGACAAAGGGAGACAGAAATGAGATAAGGCGGACACAATGACCAACCAGGAGACAAGAAGGGAGACAAAACGAAACGGAAGGGAGACAAGACGGACGCAGTGACCAACAACAAGGGGGACAAAACCGAGACCAAAAAAAACAGATGGGAGACAAGGGGGACACAATGACCAACAAGAAGGGAGACAAGACCGGAGACAGAAGGGAGACAAGACGGACACAATGACCAACAAGAAGGGAGACAAAAAGGGAAACAAAGACAACAGAAGGGAGACAAGATGGACACAATGATCAACAAGAACGCAGACAAGAAGGGAGTCAAAAGGAAGCAGAAGGGAGACAAAAGCAAAAGAAGGGAGACAAGACGGACACAGTGACCCACAAGAAGGGAGAAAAAGACCAGAGACAAAGAAAGAATGAATGGAGACAAGCCGGACACAATGACCAACAAGAAGGGAAACAAAAAGGGAATCAAAAGGAAACAGAAGGGAGACAAGACGGACACAATGACCAAGAACGGAGACAAGAAGGGAGTCAAAAGGGAACAGAAGGGAAACAAAAGCAAAAGAAGGGAGACAAGACGGACACAATGACCCACAAGAAGGTAGACAAGACTGGAGACAAAGAAAGAATGAAGGGAGACAAGGCGGACACACTGACCAACAAGAAGGGAGACAAGAAGGGAGACAAGACCGGACACAAAGGAAGAGAGAAGGGAGACAAGGCGGACACAATGACCAACAAGAAGAGAGTGAGTGAGTGAGTGAGTGAGTGAGGGAGGGGCGTTCAGCTTGTGTGATGTTGGTGCCGTATGTGTTGATAAGATGTTGAACTGGAGTTGTCATGCTCTCCTTTGCCACACCGGCGTTTCCCTGATGGGAATTGATGTGGAACCGCTGCACGCCTGTATCGGCGAGAATGCACTTTCTCTCTCTGCACTGTCTCGAGTGAGACATGTCTCTAGCAGCTCTAGCGGACTGCCTTTGCATTTGCATTAGCTGAATTTGAATTTGGATTGGCTGTGTCACATCATGCGTGGCACTTAATATTCATTCTTCGGCTTCATGATTTGGCTGCCTGCGCGGCGTCTTCTTTGTGTGTTTCTTTCGTGGTATTCCCTCCTTCAGCAGCGCCAGAAGACGACTCAGAACTGCTTGTTGGCCTGGTTCTGGTAGCGGATCCAGCTCCTGCGCCACCCGTATCAATTTCTTCACGTAATCACGACCTTTGTTGCCCTTGGTGATCTTATTGGTGTTGGCGTTGTTGCCCTGCACTGGAGGACAAACAGCGTCTTCAGATCGCATTTTTGCAGGTGCACGTTCACAAGCTTTATTATGCCTCTGGCAAATGGCCTGGACGATGCTCATAGGCCCAGGCTCTCGACTGCAGTGAGGCAACGTCAGCAGCAGCTGCTGCAGCTTGGGTAGGTATTTGAGGTCGTCGTCGAATATCAGTGACCATATGCCGCGAAGCCTCAAGTCAAGCTGGTAGGGCAACGAGCGGCCGTAAAGTATAAGTCCCTGCTGAAGAGGATGCAAATGATTCCGCTTGTTATCAGCCCTTTCACGATCTCTTATTTGGGCTTTGTATTTCTCTTGATTCTGGCCAAGGTGAAGTGTCTGGTCTATCTTTCATTCTGTCAAGTTCATATACACCTGACCACGATGCGTTTTGTGTATCTAGTTGACGTCTGCATGTGTTGATGTCTGCATGTACTGTGACTTCCCCTAGGCCTTGGTCCAAAAGGTTGCGAGGTCGTCTGCTTCTCGCTCTCCTGTACGTATGTACCACAGCCCTTTCGCTTCGACAGCCTTGAGGAAGTTCGATACTCTCGTCGCCACGCGCCGCATCGTCTCTTTGAATTAAATTCTCGACAGTCGCGTCGACGCGTCTCCCTTTTTCCGCCGGCTCGCCCTTGAACTGACACATCCGTGTACAGCACACTAGTAGTCACAACTCTTTTCTGACACATTCTTGGATTTGCTTTTTGCTGTCCAGGAACCGGGAAAAATATAACGTATTCACCAGGTTAGGGGATTCACCCATATAGGGAAAGGTTGTCAAGAGGAAGAGACCGATCCAGACATCTTCGTGTCTTCCTCTATGGCTTCTTAACAACCAGGAGGAGGAGAACACCAAATTCTGTTGGGCGCGTGTGTTTCCCAGGAAAGGTTGCCTCTAAAAACAACCACTTTCAGAACAAGAGCAAATGTTTACCAACATTGCACTCTTGCATTCAGCTCTGTTTTGTCGAGCGGATTTTCTATTCTTAGGGAAGTCTTCTTTCGGAGGAACAGGAGCACGAGGAGTAGGAGGTGGCCTGTAAACTGATGATCACACCAGGTGGAGGAACTCTGTCATCCGACCAAGCTGCAAAACGGCCTGTATCATCGCGATCCTCCTTCTTCTTCCATTGCAAACATGGCCTCTTGTCGACATCTTCGGTATCAACATCATATGCTTGAGAACGTTTCCGGTGAAGGGGCGGCCTCGTTACAGACGCTTCGGATGAAGGAGCATCACGTTGACCAAACTCCAAAAGAAGTCGCTCCAAACGTATGATCTCATGCGCTGTGATGTCTTGTCCAAAATCTGCGAACTTCGGTATCGGAGTAGCCATTCTCTGCTCAATATTCATGAAACCGAATTGTTCGAGCGCCTCTCCGCGACCCTTCTCTTGCATGTTCACCGATTGTTGTGCATTGCGTTGATATTGGGCAATAGCATATTGTTCATTTTGCAATGCAAATTCTCGAATGATGCTGTAGATAGCCTTCGTGTCTTGCACAGATAGATGAGCTGCTAAAAGAAACACTGAAGTTAAAATATGTAGAGGTGAACCACAAGCCAAGAGGCAGCGCTGGCGTACCAGGACGCCGTCGGGGGTCGAAATCTGCACTTTTTTGATATAATCCTACAGAACGACGGGAAATGGTGAAAGAAAGGTGCGCGTACTGATTTGCTGGTCGCATCAAAATTTGGGTGGTTCTTTCTTGAACTCTGCTTTTGCACCTCTTTGACCTGGTGGCCGTGGCTATTGAAACTTATGTAAATGTATACATATAAATATGTTACCGTACTGTACTTACTTTCCTCTGATGAGATCTTGCTGGTTGCACTTGCGCTTGCTGTTGATGTTGTTGTTCTTCTTGTGTATTCTAACTGTAGACGTGTATTCTAGCTCCATATCTGCAAACAAAATAAAACTCTTTACATTCAATCTGCATTATTGGAAAGAGGTGTATTCTAACCGTTCATCTTCTAGTGTAGATTTCAGTGGCTAAAGTCTGAAAACACAATGCCACAGAATAGCCTGAAAAAGCTTCAGTTTCGTTCTGCTGATGAAAAGCGCTATGTTTTCTCAAGGCACATCACTCTCGTGTGACACTATCGTCAGTCTGGGGCACTCTTCTAAGCCACTCTTGTGCGACACTCTTGCGGGACACTGTTATAAGGGACACTCACTATATGACACTCACGTACTCAGATATAATTTGGACACATAAGTTGATAGTTCTGAGGCCACAGCTTCAACAGCTTTGTTCAGAACCGGGATGGTTTCAAATGGGCCTGGGGTGTAAATGGATCTTGTCAACAAAGCAAGAAAGGCCAACAAACCCTCGAAGGTAGAGCAAACATTACAGCTGGATGTTTTTCAACCATTTCATGTTTTGAAAGAATGTTTAAATATTATACCCCAAAGACTCCGACCTGTCATGTGGAAAAAAAGTTGATAAAAAGGGGGATCGGACTCTCTGCCAGGCGATGGATCTTCCCTGGCTTCAATCGGTGAACCTTACAAGGATCGCTCGTTTCTCACACTGGCTGGTGGCTGGTCAGAAGGAACACTGCCAGTCGCGGAAGTCGCGGTCGAGGTCCGGTGGGGAACGCTGCCAGCCGGAGCTCGGCCCGGATGCGGAGGAGGAGGCGGAGGAGAAGGAAGGCAGCTGACATAAAATCGACCAATGCTCACCTGACAGGTGGGGAACTACACAAGTTTTTGGGCTTACGGCTTTGTGCAAGGTGCTCGGCACACCTACAGTACCCTGGCTGTTCTTCGCTGGCTGTTTCGGAAGAACACCTCTGCAGCGGCGGCGGTTCAGGAAAAGCTGCAAACTATACATTATATGCATGGATGTTAAAGCTTGGAGGGGACACAAACTTCTTCATCTTCTTCCCTCTCTTTTCCACTCTCGCAGTGAAGATGATCGACAACATGGATTTTGTCGCTTGCTCATTTGAGCAGGGATGCTGTAAAATATAAAAGTTGTTATCATTGTGCCAAAATGCCTACGGGGCGTCGACACCCCCAAGCAGAATGTCTACGCCAACCTTTAATCAGCCACCAATGTAAACCCTTTCATCTCAAAAAATCAGTTCATTTGGAAAGATGTAGGGCACACTTGTGAAACATGCAGGATCTTTGGGAGATGAGAACCTGAACCGTGTCCCTTGACAGAGACGTCCCAAACCCAACAATGAGCCTGGCCAAACAGAACATTGCAGCTCCTCAAACGAAGCCCCCGAGCCTCCGGGAGACACTCCCAAAACCCCTCGGCCCTGGCCCAGTGGCCATGACCGCAGCCAGCGTGGCCAAGTCATGCAGGTCCAAACCATGCTGAGTCAGTTGGCTCTGGAACAAGCGGCTCACATCCTGCCACAGTTGACTGCCAAACCGTGCCCCGTTGGATCCAGCGAACCGCTTTCGTCCAGCGCGTCGGGCCGAACCTCACCCCCACCCAGCTGTGGGGGTTCGCCGGCGAAGAACCCCAACGCTCCATTCAGAGCCCCTTCCAGTCCCTCAATGCCTATAAAGATTGCTTCGCTTTGCTTCGACCCCAGACCCCTCACAGGAATGTTCACCTCACACGAATTCCGCGCGAACGTTCACAGCGAAGCGATTGCGCCACCGGGTCCGGCCATGTCTTCGGCACCGTCAGGGCGCGGCCCGAAGGAAAGCGCCGGTTTTGGGAGGTAGATGTCTGGTGTTTTAGTGTTGTTCCTCTTAGTTGTTCTTCTTTCTCTTTTTGGTGTCGCATTCTCCTCAGAATGTGACTTCTTTTCTTAACACCAGCGAGTGGGATATGAGAGCTTCGTTTGCAGATCCAGTTGTTTCACTCGATTTAGAACCCTTAGCGCTCCAACCATATCCTCAGAAGGTGGTTAGGCCCCCCTGGCACCCACCACCAACCATCTATCTTGGAGGTAGTTGGAGCGCTAGGGTACCACCTGAGGATTCTTCTTCACTCCTTACTCCCTTGTGGAGCCATGCTCATTGGTTGAGCCAAAGCTTTAAGTGAGATCAAGGACTCGCCATGAGGCCCAGGCCTCTCTAGTTTTTGACACGACATCCACCAGTTCGTACCCGGAACAGAACATGACGTGTGTGAGAACCGGGTGTTTGGCTCCTCCGGGTCCGAAGCTCGGACCCTCTTGGCATCCCACCTTGCTTAGAAGGTACATGAAGGTACGCAAGGTACGCCCTATAGGCTATATATAAACAACATGAGAAACCACCAGATCAAATCAACCAATTCAGGACTCAACAGCCCTAGGCATATAAACAACATTA